AAGTGACAGATCAAATTAATTGTGTGGATGGACTAGGAGCATCTTGAAAATAGAGTCAATTTGTAGCTTCTACTTACTTACTAGAGTAATTACACTAACGTATAACAAACATATAACATATGCAATATCGTAATGACAAAAATAACTTATTACTTCATATCTAGAGATGTTAAATAGGTTAACTTTTTGTTTCCCAAGTGAAGTACTAAAACACATGTTCACTCAGATAGAAGATCTGTGTGCTCGTATGTGTGTCTGATGGAACCAGACTCCAGTCTGGATGGACAGGCGACTCAAATAACATGAGAGGAGACATTTGGTGATGGGAGAACCAAACCTGAGTAAGTGATAGTAAAACTCTCAGAAAATTTGTGGATTTGAGTTTATGTGATTTCTCCAGGTGCTGCGTAAGAAAGCTCGAGCTTGACACTTTAACAGAAAAAAAACAATGACAGCAAGCGGGATGACCAATTACCTCAGCTAATTTTCCTCTGGAGTGTCAAGCAGAAGGTCGTATGCTTAGGAAATGATATCATAACCCTGTTAACAGCCATAACTCTCCAGTTATGTTCTTGTCACAGCTATGAAATCTTACTTTTTTCTATCGAGAAGGGTGTGTGTATGTGTGTGTGTATAAAACATACAGTGGGTAAATATATTGAAGGGCTCTGGTAATTTCATGGTAACCACAAGAGCAAAACTCAAGTTGTTTGTGATGTTAACAGAAACCAGAGATGTCCTGTATGTATAGCCTCATTCACAGTCTCTGAATTGCCTTTTATATAGTTGGTGGATAACACAAGAGTTTAAGAGGAAAAATATTTTCTTTAAATTCATGTACCTAATGTCCCTTTTCCTTCCAACATACCAGAAAGTCTGATAATTTTAACTTATTGTAAAACATAGCTGCATTTATTTTTAATACAAGAATACATTCTGCACCTAAATTTCACTACAAGATGTTTACGCTGTAAATCCTTGCTAAGAAATGAAAATGTATATCAAAAGTGAAGTCACTCTTCCAACTAAAATGAATAGAAAATTGATAGGACTGAAACACTCTTTTGAAACGCATAATTGTCTCCTGAGAGAAGATATAAAGCTTTCTTAGCATCTTGTGAAGTTTCTGAAGTTAAGTTTATTAATTTGGATTCCTTCCTCTAAGGAGGAAACCTAGGGCACCCCTTAGAAAGTTTTAGGAATGAATAGCTTGTTCATATACTTCTTTAACAAGACATTGGTATATTTTAGGGTTTGCAGCTGAATTGTCCTCTCATTTACACTTGTGAAATCTCACTGAAGTTAAATTGAAAGATATTTGTCTAGGATAAAAATATCAGGAAAAATTGGTGGTACTAAACTTAGTTTACTGGAAACTAAACTTCTAGAAATATGGAAGGAAATAGTGATTTTGTGATACCTCCAGACCACATATATTATTGGGCACTTTCAAATTGAGACTCTGAATTTTTCGAAGTTTTGCATCATGACTGTTTTAAAGGCAGACTAGTTTGTGTTCCTATTTAAACAAAACTTTCTCTTGATTTTCTTCCGCATAATTATATCTGTGCAGCCTGGGTGACTGCAGCATTTGGCACAGCATTTCTTGAAAAGAAATCTTAGTAAGTCAGATAAAGAGACTTTGTTATGTGTGAGTTAGCTTTGGAAATGATATGCTCCTTCAGAATTAGATCTTGTATTAGATGTTGCATAGATGAAGTAGCCTCCCCTTGGGCAAATTCATCCTGTTGTGAAGGTTCTGAGACTAGCTATTTGGCCTGAAGATACCATCCAAAAGAATGGGGTTCTGTGTGCATGTGTTTGAAATATATATATATGTATATATACACATATATATATACACATATGAATATTTCTTGATTCTTTTTTAGCTATATTAGCTCCCTGTTCTCCCTGTTTCAATTCAGTATAGAACTGGTAAAAAGAATTAGTAAAAGCTGAAATGGAACAGCATAAAAGTAGGAATGGGTGATTTATTTTTTAGGAAGAAGTGGAAAGAAAATCCCAACAGTTACTTAATCTGTGACCACTGCTGCAAGAAACTTATACGCAACTATGAAATACAGTAAACTACAATTAAAAGTTTCTAGTGTTCCTGAACAAACAAACAAACAAAGACAATGGTTCTTATATGGATGACTGGGTTTCTGATTTTCCCAGTTCGTGATTGAGACAGAATGTGTGCAGCTTGATCTTCCAAGCAAAGTGAAGATATCCTCTGGATCTTGTAGGTGTTCAGCTGCTGTCTTCTTTACTACTCTCTTCTGCACTCTAATCACATGCTGCATGGCTCCAAACTCACCAAGTCTGAGAAGGCAGTAAGCCCTATGAGTCTTAGTAGGTGACTTCCCTGTTGACAGACATTTAACTATTCCACTTTCCAACACCTTCAGGGTCCCTTGTTTCCTTCCTGCCACATTCTGTAAATCTGTACCAGGATCTGAGAAAAATTCCAGACTGAAGGACACTTAAGAATCCCTGAATGCTGAGTCATAAGAGATGTACTGGTCTCTTTGGGAATGTTTTATGAGGTTGAATGCAACAAACTTTTGCATGCAAGCCAGTGGTTCACATAGGTCCAGATAAGTTATGTCATTTAATCCCCACCTCTTTTCCTCTGAAAATCAAAAAAAGTTTCTGGCTGGTTCAAGTGGTTAATTAAGGAGTAATAAGGCAGTTGAGAATCATGGCAAGCTGCAGAGGGCTTCTCACGTGCTGATGTTTGAGAGTCTTCTATAAACTGCTGAAGGAAGGAGAGAAGGATAGGAACTTGAAAGTTGTGAAACTTCCACTAGAGCCTCTTTCCTCCTGTAGATCTCAGTAGGTCCACAAGAAGGAGGAAAAATCCCGATATCCTTCCCCAGACACCTTATTCACTTCATTACCTCTCAGTAGACCATCTAAGATAAGCAGCAGCAGATGCTTGAGCTGTGCCTGACTAGCTGTGCCTATTCATGTGTGTGTGAATTGGAGAGGCAAGCTGTGTTCATGTAAGTGGGTGTGGAAGTGGGGATATGCCTGTATGCGTGCACGTCCACGTGAACAAGGAGTTGGGCAGACGAATAATTTAGGGAGACGTTACTACCATGACTTTTCCCCAGCTTTCTGCAGGAAACCAAACCAGAACATTTTGCCAAGGAAATAAAATTAATTTGTCAGCTCCTAATAACCTCTGCTAATACAACTGTTCACGTCATTAACTTTTAAAATAAGAGTCTATCTCATCCGTGCTATCTGCACTAGATCTCAGCTAGATGAGTTCAGTGAACCATAATTTATCTATTTAGCTCGTTGGTGGTTTGGTGGGTATTTGTTGTTGCAAAATAGTAGGACAATGGGAAAAAAACAACTCAACATTAGAAACATGTTTTCATTTTGTGTGTGTGTATGTGTGTCTCTCTCATAATTCATTACTTCCCCTGACCTCTACTTTGGAAGAAAAAAATAATCACTCAGCTAGAGAGATAACCTATGTGTCTAAAAGCCAAAATTCCTTTGTCTATGGATTTGGAACATGAAGGGAAAAATAAGTTTGAAGTTGGAATTCACTTTGCAGTGCTAAACAAAGAGTAATTGCAATTATTCCAAAGTATAGCAGACAACAAAGATGTGGGCTCAATCCCAGTACATCAGAGAAATGATGTACTGAACAGACAACAGATTTTTAGGACGAAGACAAATTTAGCGAAGTAAAACTAAAAGAAAAGAATATAGCTACTGGCTGAGAAGTTCTGTACAGTGAATGAGGGCTACAAATGTCCTGTATCAGGATATTTGTACATTTTTACTTTTTAAAAATAGTATTCATGAAAGAGGTATAAGTAAAAATGGAGATGCAATATAAAGCTGTATATTGTCTAATGGTGAGTGCAAGTGAGAATGACCAAAGAAGTTTGATTATATCAGAAATTATGCCCATATAGTACTGATAGAGTTTAAAAAGACAGGACAGTTGCTGGGTATGAAGTTTGATTAAAGCAAAGTGAATAGAGGAGGAATGGGAGAATGCACAGTCTGAGATAATGACAGGAGCTGACTTATACTTGAAAGTCTTTTTTTTCTGTTCATCTAGTAGCAAATAGGGAAAAAAATCTATCCATAAATAGCATCTATACATAAATAGGAGAAGGCCTGAGACTCAAAATGAGGCATTAAGTGACTGGCAAGTATAGAAGACATTGCACATCAAAGCCTGAGTACGTGGTTACTCCAGATCTTCAGCAGACATTGCTAGTAAACATGAAGTTTGTCTCCTAGTCGTCATGAAACATTTTCCAGGGATGCACAGTGCAGTGAGTTAAAGCTAAGAGCTGAACCAGAAATGCCCTCAGGTATAATTTAATATAAAAACACCATGAAAACAATTTTTATCTTAAAATAATCCTTGAAGTAACTTTGGGAAAAACTCTTGGATGTATTATCAACCATGCTAGTATTTTATGGATTAATTTCTTTTAAAGTAATTAAACAAGGCTTCTCAATATTTAATTTTGCAAATACTTGTTGGGATTTGTGGCTTGAGAAATTCTTCTTTGTTTTGCTCACCCTTTTATTCTGTTTCCTACCGTTACATTAAAAAAGAATTTTGATTAGAAGCTGCTATGGAGGAAAGAGCTGTGATATTGTACACTCTTTTGACATCTTTTCTTTGAAGTTAGCTCTGTGCTTCCACAAATTTTAGTGACTGATTGGGCTGATGACATCCTGAGATTCAATGGTAAATACTCAGGGTACAGCCACAGAGCAAATGGATGACAGAGCAAAGAAGATGATTCGGTAGCACTTGCTCTTAAGTGAATGATCCACTATTTTGAGTCATGTAGTATCTTCATATTATTTTATAGCGTGATTGCTAAGTAACTGTTGCATGTTTTAGAGGAGAACTTATAATGGATGTGTCAAGTAAAGTAAACCAAGCATCAGAGAAAGTAAAAGATGAACTCTCTAAACTTAATCTTATTCATTTTTATATGTTCCAGATTCAGAACAATCTGTGGGCAGGGAATGCAGCTAGTGGTTCTGTGGTTACCTCCTGCATGCTGCCACGAGATACCTCCTCCTGTATGACACCTTATTCCCATTCACCCCGGACAGATTCTGGCTACACAGGGTTTTCAAACCACCAGAATCAGTTCAGCCACGTACCCCTCAACAATTTTTTCACTGACTCTTTACTCTCTGGGGCAACCAATGGACATGCTTTTGAAACTAAGCCGGAGTTTGAAAGGAGGTCCTCCAGCATTGCGGTTCTACGGATGAAAGCCAAAGAGCATGCTGCCAATATTTCCTGGGCCATGTAATATAGCAGTACCCTTCCTTCCTTCATTTCTTTTTTTTTTTTTTTAATAGCAAACTGAAAACATTTTTATTTTCCGTATTTAAAGGACACAACAATAAGCTGCTGTGTGTGGAATGCTAGAAATCACAATATACATGATGTCTGCTTAAACAAATGCATTATAATATTTAACAATAAAATGAGAATAAACCAAGTAGATTTACCATGCATCAAGCTCAACAAGCTCTCTTTGTTTTTGTTTTTATATAGAAATATGTTTTGTTGTACCAGTTGTTGAAATATGATTATAAAACCTGCAAGAAAGAATAAAACTATACAGCAAATATGTCTACTCCATTGGTTTTTAGCAATCCTGTCTATAAAATTAATGTTTTACAAATGAATACTTCATAAGGGAACAACTCTGTAAAGGAAAATAGATTTATTACACTAAACACATGAAGTAAATCTTTAAGCACACTATGCAGAGGAGGAAATACATGATCGTTCATGTTGTAGGTGTAATCTGTAGACCTAACTCTCTCAGAGCCAGCTCTGGTGCTTTGCTAAGTGCATATTGAGCTTGTTGGAGTTATATCAGTGCACAACTAATGTAATGAGAATAGAAAGTATTCCTTTAATTAATGAATATTTTGCCAAATGTATCACCAAAAGCAGGATTACAGTGTTTTACAGAGTTTTCAAAGACATACACAGATTATGCAAGTCAAATGGTGTTCAGATGAAATATTTAAGATTGCATATAGGGTATCTCGAAACTTAGGTGGCTAGAAGAGAGCATGGAATAACACTGTGAAACTTTCAGCAGAATCCAGATTTATAAAAACCCCACAACAACAGCAAAGCCTTACTTTTAATCCAGTCAGTTTTACTGTTTTTTGTTATGCTAGGTCAAACTGAAAAGAAAAAAAGTCCAAGGCTTGTCAGTTTCAACTGGAACTGGCAGTTGTAACTGATCTCAAGATGTTATAAGAGTACATTTCATTTAGTTTTAGTTACAGTTTCTTGATACTTTTTTCTTTTTCTTTTTTTTTTTTTTCCTAGAGTGTAAAACTTCTTTTCTCCCTTTAAAGTCTATAAGAGAAATCTTTTCAACTGCAGTGGCAGCAGGATTTGGCTCTCAGGTCTCAGCCTATCACAAAGGAATTAAAATGTCAGCAGACTTTCTGACATTTCTGGTGGAAAAAAAATAGAGGAAAAGAAAAATACTTTACATCTGGAGAATTGCTATCTGCTTTGATTTACTTCTCCTCCCTTTCCCCTGTCACATTCCAAGCTCCTTCAGATGAGTGAAATGTCAGCCTCTTTGAAAGCAAGTCAGTCTCTCAGGTTCATAAAGGCAAAATAAATTAATTGAAATAAAAAAAGGACTTGTGTGGCTATGATTAGAACAGGATATAACTCTCTGGACACCCCTGCTCCTTTTTGCCTTTCTCTCTGGCTGTTTGTTAAGAATGGGGGGTGGGTGTGGAGCGAAGGGAAGATCAGGGAAGCATATTTCATCACAGCCACTGCCGAACAACAGTACGCACGAAAACAAACTCACAGGAACCCCCAAATTGTCTTCACTTCCACTCAGAAGGCTAAATTTCAAAACAAAAATTGGGAGTGGATCTATTCTGTAATGAGGCAGTGGAGTAAACAAACTTAACTTTGAAACCATTAGGATCAGTTGAAAATGGGAATTTTACAGCAGATTCTTATGCAGCTGATTGAAAGGAAGGCTGTCCTATTGCTGCTGGTAATAAAATCAAAGTTTAACACATACATATACTCCAATTTGTGGTTTCCTAATTTCATTCTCCTTCTAGAAATTAACTTCATCTTTAGCCTGAGGAACTGGTTTGAAAGAGTATACTAGCTAGAATTTATGTTTTCCATTTTAATGGTCTGTTTAGATAGCAGTAAAATAAGCCTTATGATTTAAACAAATAAAAAAAGTTATTAGTACAGGTAAAGATACTAGTTTGATGTAGACTCTTGTGCCACATGCAGAAAGACAAAAGTGGCTGAAACAGAAGCTTTTTTTTTTTTTCTTTTAGGTCAAACTGTTTCCAGTTCTAAAATACGGTTTTCTTACTTTTTTTTTTTTCGGTTTTCCAATAATAACTTTTTAAGGTATAGCATTTAGAACATGTCAAAGTGATTTCCAGAAAATTTTATTAGAGCATCATTAGTGGATAAAGAAGCAAAAGCTTAGCTTTTTACTGTTTTTTATTGTTGCCTCTCTTTCAGTTTACTTATTTATTTTGATAGCAAAATTTACTACTATTGTCCTGTGAAATCGGGAAAAAAAAATCAATTTTTGCAAGACTTTCAAAGTCAGGAGTAAAATTAAAAATTCCTAGGAATTTACTACAATGACTGTACATTTGGGGAGAATATATACATATGTTGCAAAACCTTACGATGTTTTTAGATATTTGAAGCCCCCAAAATCAAAGGGGAAAATAAAAGACTATGTTATCTCTCTGCTGATTTTAAGTGAAAGGGATAAAACCCTAACTAATTCTTCATCCTAACTTTTAGGAATGGAAATTATTTGTTACATGTTGCTAGCATGACTGTGTGTATTGGACAAACAGGTATTCAACCCTTCCTTAAACCTGAGGTGATAAGTTACAGACCTGCATTAAACTTGTCATGCTCTTGCATCAGCCTCGTCTCAAAGAATGAATGATAGTCTGTTGGTCACAGCATTTCATTTAGCTAATGAAAAAGTATCTTCGTGTTAGATGTCAAGAACTACAACAGGGTCACATTCTGCCACTTTTATTTAGTAGCGCTTTACTCCGTGAGTAGAGGCATTGATGTGAGTGAGACTACTTATATATAGGCCAAATTGTGAATCACTTGTAAATGTTTATTCACAATGGCCCCATTCATGCAAAGAGCCATTCAGCACAACATGAGTAATCGGTTCATAATCAGGCCCAGCTTAAGGTACTATTCAGCTCTGGTAAGGATGGCAGAATCTGGCCCACACTGGCTTAATGCCAGACTCAGATTTTTTAAGCAAGATGAGTACCTCCTTATTCCACAAATAGTGCAAACAGAGCCAACAGGACTTACTGACAGGCTTGGACTAGATGACCTTTAAAGTGCCTTCCAATCCAACGCATTCTATGATATGTAGGGTTCTCTTTTTATAAGAAAATTCTGGAAAAGAGGCATTTTAATATATGCAAACAATTTGAGTAAATTTCTATTCAAGGTGAATGATTTTATTTTCCACTGGACTATACTCTCACATTTGACAGGACTTGTGCTCTAGGTGCTTTGATTTAATCCACTTAATGATTTCTTAGTGTGAGTGACTAATATTTTTGCTGCTTCTTCAACATGTGGCAAATGCACTAAAAACAAAAGGAGGTGATTTACATAGCCTTTCTGCCAAGGGCTTTAACTAATATTTGAGCTATGTGATCATCATGCAATGCTGAGAAGTAAATTTATAGAACTTCTGGGCAAAGAGTCCCCATCTTGTTAAAAGAGAAAGTGAAATATTGTTGTAATTATTGCTGTGAAGAATTTGTGATGACATAACATTGCACTTTTTTTCCTTGTATGATTGATTCGTCAATAATTTGAAAATGTTAAGCATGTATTTGAACATATTTTTGAATAGATGTAAATTTATCTATGAACATTTAAAGTCTGATTTAAGATTTGTGCAAACCCATGTGAGTGATGGACAACTCTGCATTAAGCAGCTAGAGACACAATCTCCTTACTACAAAGATGATCAGAAAAGTTTGACACAATTTATTTCCACCTACATACTGATCAGTGGTGTTACATACCACAGTCATACACCAATGAAGGCATCTTTTGTTTCTGAGAATAAGCTAAAATGATCTATATTTCTTACTTGACTTCCTTACTGTCATAATATTCTACATTGTCAAGTGTTGAAAAAATACACTTTAATATATTAAAAGGATTTTATTTTGGCTGTGAACTTTAGTGTACGGCCCTGAAGTATATAATTTAACAAATACAACCAACACTGTGCATTTTATGTTGAGACACTTTAACACAATAGAAGCAAATTACTTTGTTTGCAAGGAATAAAATATTAGTGTTTTCAAAACGACACAATGAATTAATATCTTACTGATTAAATTAATTAAATCAATTACCAAGCAGAGCTAAATCAGGCTGATCAGAGTTAGAACTCATTTAAAACACTTACACTGCTAAAATTCAAAATGTTTCCAGGGGAAGTTCTTTCTGTGACAAGATATTGATTTTTTCCCACAGCACTTCATACTCAGTTATCAAGTGACTCACTTATCTCCAGAACACACCTTTTTTATCTCTCTACAGTCATCTTTTTAGATTTTGCTGGTTCATAGTAAGACATTGTGAGTTACCCAAAGCTTAACACCCATTTATTTTATACCACTTTTTAGTAGACTGAAGAAGCTGAAGTATATATCTGGTTTAATTAGGTGTACAGCTGCTGCTTTGTATATGAAATATTGGTGGTATAAGCAAACATATGAAATAAACATTCAGAATGTAAAGTTGTGGTAGCTGAAAGAACATACCTTAGATTTAAACTGTCTGAAATGAGCAGAAGGCTAGGCCAACGCTGATTGTGAGATATGGGTATAAGTGAATGAGTGTGTAATGAATATAGGGATGTGATGGCTGGGAATAACAGAATAATCTGGGAGGAGAGTCAGAGTACAGTGCTGGAATAAGGAGGAAAGTAAAATCCAAGGTGTCCCAAGGTGTCCTTTCCTTCCCACTCTTGCCTAAATCCCCCCATCTAAATTACACCATGTGAACACAAGAATTATTTTATTACCACCTATATTATCTCTATTTGCAAGAAGAGTATTGTGTTTAAGGAGGCAGATAAAGAGCCCAAAATTTAGTCTTGAAGGGACAGGACTGGTAGGTGTATTACTATCACTGTGAGTAAAAACATATTGGGAAATTAATGAGTATTTTTTGGGAGAAGTATCCAGTTTGTACATTCTTTAGTCAGGAATTTCAGGTTTTCTTTCCCTGCATTTTTAAAGCTGCATGAGGGCAGAGTGTTAAAGTACAGTGACAGCTGGCTCAGTGAGTCTACTAAATTTCTAAAACATGTCCATTCTTCTTTGCTCCACTGACTTTTTCAACCTGATAGAGCTGTCACATGCAAATGAAACAACATATCACAACACTCTCTCATAAGATGTATTTGCGATATTGACCTGTTCCTGTCAGTTATTTTTCTCTATTTAAAAAATGTAAAAATTACAGTTTCTAACTAAATCTGCTTGTTTAAATACAGTCCACACATGAGATGTCATTGATTTTTCAAT